TACTCGATGTCCTGCAGCCAGTGCTTGCAGAAGCTGGTTAAGGCAGCGACTGCCAAGTTCCGCATGAAGGAGCTAGCTAGTGTGTTGTTTCGTCTTGATTGCTTGGCATGCTACTCGATTGCCGACGATTGTTTGCAACTCACTCCATATTGGAATTGGTTGGGACACGAAACGCAACGAACCGCTAGCTACAAGAGCTTCAGCGGTCAGACAAGTGACTGACGGTTGACAATACGCATGAAGTCAAGAGTGAAGAGACAAAACTGCCCAGCAAACTTTGAGTTGGGCCGGTTGTGTCTACGGGTCGCAGGAACACATCACCGTGCCTCACAACAAGCGCGAGCTTTCAGCCATGGACTCTTCCCTGGACGCCCTGGGCAACGGTGGCTCGGTGCCTACAGACTTAGCCAACGATGCAACAACAGTGCTGCGGCTGGTGCGCGCTGACACAGTTCCGATCCATGACGTTAAGGAGTCAATCAGCGCCATTGAGTCCATGCAGCAGCGCCTTTGCCAAATTGGTTTGCTGTTTGGCCAAACAAAAATAGTCACTCGGTCTGAGTCGAAGGCTGGTACCCCTTTCCATCCGACCACTTGCGGAGCTGGGCCCAATCTGTATTGCTAGTGCTGCTGGCAATGCTCAAACTGTTGCAGGGGATGCTGCAGCCCCTCTGCAGCTAGTCTGGTCAAGTCTTGTCAGTCACAGTCTAGTCGAGTCTGGTCTAGTCAGTCTAGTCACTAGTTTGTTATTGTAGCCTTGCTTCACGCCAAGGGGCGGGCAAGAGCTCAAGAACACCATGATCATGACCGCGTCGGTTATGGGCACAAGCCTTGGTGTCAAGATCCTGAACGACGCCAAGTTCAGCCTGGAAACACGCAACTCAGACGCAGAGTTTTCAGACCGTCTTGCCGCAGCGTTTCATAGACTGCCCGGCGCCTTTGTGGATGTGGAGACTGGCAGTGCTACGATGGCCGAGCGGCGCTTCGGTCCCAAACTAGCAGTGGACAGACAGTGTTCTTTCAGTCTTAAGTTCTTAAGCGCCACTTCCAAAGCTGGCTCGCAGATGGTTTTACAATAACTTACTTTGTGGCTGAACGCGCGGTTGCTCTGAGGTGCTCGCATGTCTTGGACGCCTTCCAGCTGCTTCACACCGTATGCACTTCCAAATCACAAGCTAAGTCGCTGGGGAAGGAGCACATTGCAAGCATGACAGCCTCTTTGCGGAAATCTGTCAATATCCTCACATTGCAGTGCGCGATCGTGGAAGCCATTTGGAAAATATTATCAACCTGTCGTCTCTGTGAATTGTGTCGTTAGCTTTGTAATCCTTGGCCTCCAGCCTCCAGACTCAACACCCCAGACATTTTAGCTTGTCGTGTCACACGTCGTTAGGTGCTTCCATGGGTGTCGCACGCTGCGTCGTCGGCTACAAGCAGCAACATCTTCGACGCGCCGCCATCTACATCATGGGCCTGCTACAAGTCTTTCGTCAAGCTCAACGACTTTAGCTCCTGCAAGGAGTTCTTGGACTCTGCCACGAAGCTGTCCCAAGCCATGGCCGCTGTGAAACACAACTCCAGCGACAAGGTGGATTGCCAAGGCTTCAACAGTGTCCTGGGCAGCTTCAGCAAATCAGTTGGGTTGCTCCAGGACGGGGATCAAGTTTCAAAAAAGGTGTTTTTTTGAGAGCTCAAAGTGTGTTTTCTGAGGGGCGCAAAAAGGGTGTTTTTTTGAGGGGATCGACTTGACTAGATTGACTAGATTCTAGAATTTCTAGGCTCTAGTCTCTCAAGACTAGTGTCAAATTCAACGACACCGGTCTTAAGTAAGTAAGTACGTAAGTCCTAGCGATTAGTGATTAGCGACTACCGAACTGACTAGCAAGTGTTCAGTGGTTGTTTGTTATCGCCGACTCATTGTTGAGTCGTTGTCGCTTGCCCCTGCAGGAAACATGGGCATCGTTTGTCGAGACGACTTCGTGCGCGGACGGTCACGTCAAGCTTGAGCCATTGTTTCGCAACATCGAGACTCTGAGCACCGTGGCCAGGTCTGTCAGGGACGCTATGAACATGGCTGACATGACGGCGGTCAAAGGTGCCATTTGCGATTTCCTCATGGCCTGTGTGTCAGACGCAAGCAGCAGCGATTGCTTTCAATCTGATTCCCTCCTCGACGATGTGGAACTCAAGTTGTTTGCGGCGGCGATGCCCGATCGTGCCAACCTGCTGAACGCTGCCGACTATCTCAAGGCTTTCTACGAAGCAGGCGAGAGCGGGTTCATGTGCAAACTTTGCAATTGCGGTTGCAACGGTAAACTTTGTAAAACCCCCAAAACTGTAAGCTGTTAAACTTAAGTTCTTTTTAAGTAAGTAACCGTCACACAACTCAACTATTCAAGAGCGCTGTCCACAAAGTTCACACTGTGCGCACATACCCACCGGCGCAATGGTCCCCGGAACTTGTTGGTAATATTTCGATTTACGAACTATGGCTATGGACCTACACCACCTATACTAAGTTACACACAGCCATATACTACTAAACTTTCTAAACAAATGATTTCAAATTTCAAACCCTAAGTCCCCCCCCCACAACCAGTCGTTTGCAACTGCGTCCCGTTCTCTGTCCATGTAATTCAGATAATAAAAAAATTATCCTTCCATGAAAGTCAGGTAAAAAAGCTAGAAAAACTGTTAGAAGTTGTTGGCTGGGAGTTTAGGGTCTAATAGCGGCTAGCGTTTGGTTTTACTCACGAGAGGCCACTTGCTCGGCAAGCTCAAGATCTCAAAGTCTCCCGATGTGTTCAGGCGCCTCATGCCGGCGTCCAAAGCTCTTGACAAAATGCGAGGATCGGACCCGAGTGATGTGGTCACTGCCCTGTTTTCCGGCGAGTTCAACGTTGACGCGCTCCGATCAGTCGTCCTGAAGATATCCACATGTGCTTCCACAGAGGTGGATCGCTGGATTGCTGACAAGGCGTGTTGGCTAGTCATGAGGCATAGCCGTCATAACCTCATGTTCTGATGATTCAAATGATCAATAATCAAGACTTCTGGTACCTGCAATACTGTCTCGACTCTTGAGTATTGGCTTCCTTGACTTTCTGTTTTTTGCTTAACTCTCGGCTGACGTTTGACGTTTAGGCGACGGCTCTGGACAATTTGGTCCAGCAGGTTGGGTCCCACAAGCTTCCCTGTGGCAGTGACATCCAGTACCCTGTGACCGCTGACGGGGACAACACCATTCCCACCATGAAGGACTTTCCGGACCTGGCGCAGATCGATGAGGGTGCTGTGGCCAACACGTGCACCCGCCTTCAAGCCGCGATGCAGGACATTGAGGACAGCCGATTGTTTCTCACAAACAAATATAACAATCAGCCATCTACGAAGTTCACGTGTGACCCAAGTGATGATCCCCTAGATTGGTCTTGTGTCGGCATGTCGCGCCACGGTTTGGGGCCGTTCCGTTGGAGGAGCTGGGCGTGCAGTCTCATGTACCTGGGCATGGCAAGGCTGGGTTTGGATCCGGGTTTTGGAATTCGAGAAAATTGCTACATAGTGTTGAGTTTCGGACACTGTTAGGAGATGGTGTCTGTTTGCTAGTCTAGTGTCTAGTCTAGTTATCTAGTTAGTTGCTGTTAGGTGTTTGACCTCGGCAGGCAGCCGCCTGCCACAACAGTGCAGTTTCTGTCCTGGCGACGATCACCCTGCTGAGAATCATGAACTCCAAAAGATTCGTGAAATCCATCGCATGCGATCAGCCACCACCTACGAGTCTCCTTGACAGCTTACGCGACACCATGGCGACGTGTGGCTCACTCAACCTGACAGTGCCGGCCTTGCTGCAAGCGAAAGCAAGCAGCTTTTTGAACTTGAACAAGGCTCCAGCTCCAGCCTAGGCTAACACTCGGCTCTTTTCACTGGGCTCGAGCGGTCGATTTGCAGCGCCTACGCGTTGCTGCATGTGGGTTGTCTAGCAAGGTGGCTGCGGGCGTGCCCTGCCAGATTAATTCGACTGCCCCCCCTCAACTTCAACTTTGAGTCGAGTGACTTCAAACTTCAAACTTCATTGTCAGGGACAAGCTTGAAACTTCCAACTTCACTGATTGGTTAGTCAGGGCGCCTGGCTGGAGCTTTCTGAGTCGTTCAGGCGCATGGTGTTCTTTTAGTTTTGGTTTTCTGAGGAGTTGCAGATGATGCGTTGCGACAAACTGCCAGCGCTTCGGTGACTCCCAGTCCCGCGAACAGCCCCCCCACCCAGGGCTGCGCGCATCAATTAAATGATTAGATTCGATCTGATTGGACTAGACCCTCAATGCGTGCCGTGCCTCAGCAAAATGGCACCTTGCGGCCCGTCCCAACTTTGAAGCTTCACGGCTCAGAAGAAGACTCACAAGACTCAAGACGTTCAAGGTTCAATACTCGACTTCCGACTTGCTAATGACAAACTATTCAGTTCTCATTGTCCCAGCATACAGTTGACACTTTGTTTCCGTTTCAGCCAATTGTCACCTTGCTGCCAGATGCCAGACCCAGACATGGTGATCAAACTGACCAAACATAGACTTTGCTGCAAAAAATAACGTTGACTTGTATTGCAGATTCTGAGATCGTGACATTTCGTGTTGAACAGGACTCTTGATTTTGAACTGTTGGATTGTTGGACGGCCCGAATCCTTGTGTCATTGAATTCCTGGCATGTGTGATGCAATTGACGTATTTGAGCCTGAGCAGAGCGCAAGTTGTAGTTGTGCGATCCTTTGAGTTGACTCAGACTCTTTGGTTGACTTCCCTGCAGCAGAATGTTCAAGTCATGAACGCATGCGCTTGATTCAAGTCTCAGGAGTTGACATGACATGTGGAGCAGGTGTTAATGTCAAGGTAGGTGAGTGACTGTGTTGGCTGCCTGCTCGTCAGCAATGGGGCGATCCAGCGCCAAACCAACTGCGAAGGCGAAGACAGCTGCAAAGAGCTGTTCTGTGGTGAAACCTAAGGCTATGCCGGCTACGCCCAAGGCACCTGCAAAGCCCAAGGCTTGCGATCTGCCTAAATACCCTCCAGAGGTTGTGTGCAAGTACAGACAGCAGCGGGCGCAATTTATTGCAGCGCACCCTGGGGGTCGCCCCGTTCCGCCAGAATCGTCTGGGGGTCGGGCCGTTCCACCAGAATCCTCAGGGCCTTCCTCTGACGTTGCCGTGGCAGCGCCGGCGCAGGAGGGGGGTCGGGCCGTTCCCCCAGAATCCTCAAAGCCTTCCTCTGACCTAGTGGTGGCCGTGCCGCCGACGCAGGAGCCGTTTTTTGTTGTCAAGTGAAATTCATCCTAGGTTGGCAAAATTGTCTCGCGATCGATTGGATTTGGTCATGTCACGGTAACGTTGGCTACTGGCGAGGTCAAACTGACTTAATAAGAGTGGTTACTGTTTGCGCCCGGCTTCCTTTGGGGCTGAGAGGCAACCGTCAAGAAACATCCCCCAAAAGTGGGTGCAAATTTAGTGCCCTGTTTGCACCCGGCTTGAATAGGGAGAGCTGAGAGGGCAGCCGTGAAGAAACATCCCCAAAAGTGGGCAGCACCCTGTTCGCAGTTGGGGGGCAACCGTCAAGAAACATCACCAAAAATAGTGGGTACTAACTTAGGGAGGTTGAGGGGCAACCGTCAAAAAAAACATCCTCCCGAAAAGTTGGTACTAATTTAGCCGGGCAACCGTCGAGAAACATCCCCCAAAAAAGTGGGTACTAGTTTAGCACCTAATTAAGACTCAAGACTCAAGATTAACAACTAATAATATTGATGTCTTTTTCGATTCAACGCTACACCCACCCACTAACCAATCTCCCAACGAGCAGCCCACCGCCCGCGCGGCGTCAGCGCATTTTTTGGGAGGACCCTTCAGCTTCGTTTTCTTAGAACAGTAAAAAAACAGCCCGGCTTGACCGCCTGAATTTGTCAGGCCGGCGCCGACCAGAAATCGGATGACGAGCTCTCTACAGAGCTTGGGAGACTGCTGGACGCCAATGATGAGGTCCTCACCGACCAAGCAGATGCTGAGACGAACCACGGCGACGCCCGACAGCACACTCAGGCCACCCAAGCGGACGCTGAGACCAACCGTGGCGACGGCCAGCGTCACACCCAGGCTGCGCAAGCAGATGCTGAGACCATCCCTGGCGGCGGCCAACAGCACACTCAGGCCACCCAAGCGGATGCTGAGACCAACCGTGGCGACGGCCAGCATCATTCCCAGGCCATCCAAGCAGATGCCCCTGGCGGCGGCCAACAGCACACTCAGGCCAACCGTGGCGACACCCAGGCCGCCCAAGCAGATGCCCCTGGCGGCGGCCAACAGCACACGCAGGCGGAGACTCAGATCACCCCTCATAGCAACCAACAGCACGCGCAGGCAGATGCTGACACCATCCCTGGCAGCCTCACTTGCGACTCTGCCGTGGTAAATGTTTCAGAAACACCAATGACTGTGCAACCTTCAGCCACAGACGCTCACCAACCCGTCGAGGGCGCGTCAGCCGTGAAGCAGGAGCAGCCCACAGACACTCACCAACCAGCCGTGCAGCAGGAGCAACCTGCAGGGCTTGATGTCAAGCGTGAGACCACAGGTGGCGCTGATTCTCAGACTCATTTGGTGCGATGGACAGGATGAGAGAAAGACTGGTGCGGGGCAGACAGGTAGGTAGGTAGGTAGCAGACGGACAGACTTGATCTTGGATTCCTTCATTCATTGATGAAATTCATACTGTGATTGGGTTTTAGGTTTGACTGTCGATTGATTAGTTTTTTATTTTCTAGGATTCTAGAGTCTATCTAGAATCCAGAATCTTGACTCTTGACTCTTGTGAGTCGACTCTTGATACTACACTTGAGACTTGAGACCCCAGTTAACAGCCAAAAAATGGGTTCAACCAAATCAGTCCCAGCAGGCCAGTAAATTCTTTAGATTTGCAGATGGTTCCGTAATCTGGGTTTTCTAGACAGATAGTGAAGTGACGCGTTGCCAAGGATGATGACAGACTTCGAGGAGTGCTCGGAAGCCCTGACTTCAAGCAATACTGTGTCGAGAGCAACACAAGCTTCACTTGTGACCTCTGCGACATTGACGGCCTCTACAACGAAATCATGAACCAAGGGCAAGGCGCCGCTACAGCAGTGATTCGTGACTGGCACGCCTGGCGGGAAACCTGCTTGCAGATCAAGGAGCTGAGGCCCAAGATCCGGGATATGGTGCTCCACCCTTTGTTTGAAGAGTTCTGCACCGTCAAAGATGTGTCATTTGAGTGCGATCTATCTGACAAGACTGCAGTCCAACATCAGGTCATGCGCAGTGGCGTGCCAGGTGACTTGCTGCAGGACTGGAGCAATTGGGTAGTTGATGGCGCTCGCCCTGTGACACGATCCAAACGTGACACAGGTGGTGCTGACCGCTACAAACTACCCCCTACTGCTGCGCATCCTGACATCAACGACGTCTTGGTTTCTGCAGTGAAGGCCATTCGGGTGTCCGTACTTGTTGGAACTAGCTCAATGAAATCTAGTTCAGTTTTGTCGCGTCTTTGGTTTTGGTCCAATTTCAGTTTTGGATTTTTTGACAAAAGGCTAGTCATAGATAGAGACTCGATACCATGCCACTCACACACTTTCATTCGACTCAAGACTCAAAACGTTTGTTCTAATATTCTAAAATCTAACACCAAAGTTCTAGATGTTTGGGCATGATGTTGATGCTGTGCCCATCAGATCATGGTCAGCCGCGCTGCCGGCAAGCTCCCAGACCTTGCAAATCGCATCCGAGCCTGGCCACGCTTGGCGATGGTTGCAGATATGTTCAGCGGGGCTGGCACGTTTCTCCATGTGACAGAGACTGTAATGCAAGTGCTGAATGAAGAGTTCCCAGAGGAGACATCCGGCTTGGCTGACGCTTGGACTGCTACTGGCAACTGTTTGGGTCAGATGCGCCTGCTTGCCCAACCAGGTTCAGGATTCAAGTGTCCAGAGTCCAGAGTCCAGGGCCATAGTGAATGACAATGAGGTAGTTGAACTTTGAGCTGGGAACACCTGAGAACTATTTCACCGAACTTATGCTCGCTCAATATTTGCAATGTTACAGCAACCATCGGCCCATCATGTCTGTCAGGTCAGCCACGAGTTTATGGCAGAGGTGGTGGCGTTCAAGCAAGCCTTTTTGGCTGCCTCCCTGGCCGAATCTCACAGCCCGGACTGCTGTGTCTTCAATGATGCCACGCAGATGTTTTGCCCGGATCGGTCCTGCGTGCGCCATGGAAATGAGTGTGTGCCTTGGCACCTTATCTCCAGCAACTTTTGTTTAGCAGGTTTAGCTGCCTAGCTGTCAGCTGGTTGTTTCTACTGGGGTATCGAGTCTTGAGGCAGTGCCAGTTGATTGTGGATCGTACAGACATGTTTAACGTTTAAAGTTTAAGGTTTAAAGTTTGAAGTGTTTATACTTATAAACTAAGTTTATAATAATATATGTATATAAATACATTTAGCATCGGATAGGCGAGGCCGAGTTTTTTTGAGTCTTGGCTACGCTGCTAGCTCAGGGCCTGCCAGACGAATTGTGGGGCTTCAATGCTGGTTTTTCTTGTAAGAGCTTCAGCCGCTTACATAATGACTACAGCAAGCTTCAGCGAGCTATGGCCGAGGACAATCTCGACTCTCGGCATGTGTGCTCCCGCTGACCGCTAAGATGTAGTTGCCGTTGCCGCTGAGGTTTACTAGTTTAGTTTGTTACAGTTAGTTAGTTTTTCAAGTTTTGACACGAGGTAAATTTCTTTGAGTCAGTTTTCGATTTTGAGCTTATCCATGTCAGCTGTTCATTTGACTACGATTCAGGAAAGCTCCAGTGTACAGACGTTCAAATGTGTAATCAACTTGCTGAACACTGTCCCGGTCAGCTGGTTCATCTTGGAAAATGTCGACCTCGACTCGGAGCCGGACGGGAACCTAGACCTCATCATGAAAGCGCTGTCATCCTCCGGATTTGGCACGCATGCCGACGGATACCAGGTGAAGGCCTTCAAGATTTTGACGAGCGATTACGGACTCCCTTCTCGGCGAATACGACTCTACTTTGTAGGAGTCAGTCGCAGCTCATTTCCACAGTTCAGCATGAAATGCGTTGAGCGGAACCTCAACATGTTCACGCTGAAGTGCCAGCCACCGGACTCTGTGCCGCATGGCACTCGTGCGTTTGTCATTTGAGTCTACTGGCACGAGTCATAGTCATAGCGGCCATGACAAATTCACTCACACCGCCAACTTGACAAACCGGCCCACTTATCTCAAATCTCAAACTTCAACACCTCAAGACTCACGACTCAAGACGGTGCTGACACTGTAGAGTCTAGAGTCTAGAGTCTAGAGTCTCTCTCCACAGCCAATGCTAACTTAACTAAGTGGCTACTTTGTTGAACTTGGTTGGGTGTTGTTCTTTGGGTTGCTTTTACCTTACCCACTTGTTTGCATTCAGGAGGACTTTGTGCTGGATGATGACAGTGCGCCGGTCCAAGCAGAACTCGGGAGGCGACAGGCTACGCGAGCATCGTCGACTGGCGGCGCTGAAGATTCTAAGTGGAAAAGCCAGCACATGGATCTTGCCGAGAAACGTTGCCTTGCAGCATTATGGTACTTGATGTTCCCATACTCCCAACTAGTAACGTGCAACTCAAAGCCCGGACCCCTGAGGTTGATGCACGTATGTCAGTCCTGAATCCGTTGATCGCTCAGGGGGGCTCCGCTGGCCCTTGACAGTGGTCGAGCCAATGGCAGCCAGCCCGTGGTTCCACACATTGCCAGAGAGGGAGAAGGAAGACACTTGCCGGGTTGACTCGACTCAGTTTTAAACGGCTTTCGGTTATTGAGTTTTCAGTTCCTATTTTTCGTAGGAAACACGATCGCCCCTCTTGGCCCTGCATAATCATTGTTCCAGTTTGCACTCAGTCTCTTTTATTAGTATTAGACGACCTAGAGCTTGGGAGTGGTGTTGTAGATTATAGATTCTAGATGCCGCCATTCGGGCGGGACTTACATTCGGATTCGGACTTGCCGACTCGCCCCTTTACCCCTTTGGTTATTGCATTAGCTTGGCATGTGATTGCGTCACGCCGAGAACACGCTGTTTTTGATGGACGAGAAGAAGTCACGGGAGAAGACCAAGCAGGGGCCCATTAGATTTGGGGACGTCTACCACTCCGCGCATAGGCTCCCATCCAGCTCCAATGATGTGCCTTGGCATGTTATGTTATGTTCGATAGTCTCGCAGCCGTCTCGGAAAATTGAATTGAATTGCTCATACCACACAGGAGATCCCGACGCTCCTTCCTGGCAGCAAAATATTTGACCTGGAGCGGCATCGCCTCATTTTGGGAGTCTCGCACACCACTTTTGCAATTTTGCTGTGTTTTGTGACGTTGTGTGGTTGGGTGCGTTGATTCCCCCCCACGCACACACACAACGTTGCGAGCTTTACCATTTTAATCCGGTTAGAATTAGCAATGATAATCTTTTGGTATTCCAGCTGAGGCCGTGAAGCTCTCCACCTACAAGGGCTCCAATTTCCTGCGCACATTTTGAAGGCCTTTTCAGAAGAGCAGTTGTCAGACTTAGCAGGAAACAGGTTCCTTGGTTCCATTCAGTTGTCAATGGCTAGCCATGCAATGTGGCGTGGTGGGCCTTCGTCGCATTTTGTTGCCTTTGTTGGCGGCTTGTGATCTAAGTTTCTCAGCTACCGTATGCGCTGCGGTGCTATTGGCGGTGCTATGCGAGTTGCAACACCAGACCGAATCGGAGGAAGAGGAGGAAGAACACTTGGTGACGCTTGTGGCACAGTGCCTTTGCTTGACTCTGCGCTTGCTGTGGGGTGGTCAATTGGCAAATGTTTTCTTGGCTGCGTTGCGCCACACGCCAAGGTTGAAGCGTCAACGACATAATTGAGTCGAGATGCGTGGGCGCGCGTCCAGTTGTTTGCATGAATCGACCCAACCCATGGCTGCGGCTACTTTTCAGCGGGTGAAACCACATTTCCACAAGTAGTTCAAGTGTTCAAGTTCACAAGTTCCCCATGTTGAATGAAGCTGGTTCAAGTGACAACACGAACAATGGTAAGTTAGTCCCAGGAATTCGCGCCATGGGAGGGTTCATTTTGGGCCCTGTAGCGTTGCATTGATGAAATACGGCTTGCGTCGCACGACAACGCCGAGCATTCACCGATTTGCCGCGGGGCACGCTGCTGGCAAACATCCCAGGCGTGATTGTCATTGTGGAATTGTGGAACCTAGGACCTATAGCTGAACTGACTTACCTGGTTCCCATAATCCGATGACCCATACCTCCTAACAGTAGAATCGGTTTTGTAGGGTTTTGTAGGGTCCTGGATGGGGGGGAAAAAACTTAAATATACTATAAACACTATAAACCACATACACATAACGCCGGGGGGGGGGGGTCATCCATGAGTTGAGTTTGGTTGCGTTACCACAAATCAGGGATCCGGAATCTTTTGATGTGACGCAGCGTGAGCGGCCCGATCGCCTCAGTCCAACAGAGGATGTGAATTGCGTTTGACACACACCAGGCGGCGGCCGAGGTGGAAAATGGGGCCGGCCTTGTCCCGTGCTCGTTCGAGAACCAGTTTTAAGTTAACAACTTTTATGTTTTACGATAAGTGCACCGAACCCATTTGCTCCACTTGTTTTCAGAAGAGCCCTCAACACTTGCGCCGCCTGACGCTGCTGAACGCGTGATATTTTGCAAGCGTTGGCAAGGGCTCATAAGGCGTCGACTTGTACAGGGGCCCACCCTGCACGCCCTCATCCACTCCCGCGCGCCAAGTACTGCTGCGCTTTTAACTTTTCACTTTAGCTTCATGGGACACATGACAGAATGGTTAGGTTTCATGATTCATAATGCTAGAATTACAATCGCAAATTGTTACGCGAAGCGGATGTCGCACGCTTGCGCCGCGCGCTCGCGAGTCACAATTTTACTTACTGTGCTGCTGTGCCAACAGTGTCGCGCTGTGACGTTCGTGCCTCCGTGCCGCGCCAATCACACCGCTGCGCCGCGCCACGTGAGCCATCGTGCTGCGCCGCTTGTGCCATTGCGCCATGCCGACTCGTAGCCTTGCGGTGTACCAGTCGCACCCTTGCAGCGCACCCTTGCGCAGCGCCAGTCGTACCCTCGCGCCGTACCAGTCGCACCCTTGCGCCGTACCAGTCGCACCCTTGCGCCGTACCAGTCGCACCCTTGCACCGTACCACTCGCGCCCTTGCGCCGTACCAGTCGCACCCTTGTGCCGTACCAGTCGCACCCTTGTGCCGTACCAGTCGTACCCTGGCGTCGCACCACTAGAAAATGTCATTGCCCCAGTATTTGCACATGCCTCCAGAGCATGACTCTTAAATTTAGCTAACTCAAAAGTCTCCGATGGAGATTTGTCGGTATGGGACATGGTTCTGGGGCTCCCAAACATGGACACTGAAAACGCTGCCCTCTCCGCTATCCAGCGTCCAACCGGGCCTCCCATGAGGTCGCCCTTCTTCAAGTCCAGAAACTCCGTGTCATCTACTGGCATGAATCAGGGGGTCCCGGCATCTCCCTCACGAGGGGAGCCCCGCCGCAACCACGCGTCCGCAAGCGGTACACAAGCCACCAAATCAATCTCCGCCGCAGTGGGCACAGCTCCGCAGCGCTCAATTTATTGTAGCCTGCTCAAATCCCCCTGGATGACAGAACAAACTAGGAGGACTGGGAGCCAACACAGTTGCAGAAATGGCTTCTGCAAAGGGCTTCCGACTCGAAGTATTAAGAACCTTCCGTGAGCAATGATAGTTTGTTTGCTCTTGCAGTGTTCCACCCCCACTGCTCCAAACAACCTTCAGGATTCGGTTTTAACAAGGAACTTTAACAGTTCAAAACCTTACCTAAAAGTTCTAGATTCAGTGTTGGCAATGCAAAAGTTAGTACTGGCAATAATAAAGTTCGTCCACTAAATTTTGTACTGGGAATACAAATTTTGGTACTGGCGTATAAAAACTTAGTACTGGCTGTGATAAAATTGGTACTCGCAGGACTCGTTCTTTTACCGCCCGCGTGCAACTCGAAGCCAAACATCCTTCCAGGAATCATTCTTAAGAAGGCTTAAACAATGCGAAATCTTCTTTATATGTACTGGGATTCGTATCGGCAAAATTAAGCTGTGTGCTGGCAATACTAGAAATAGTACTGGGAATGCTAAATTTAATACTGTGGGCAGAAATGTCGTTCGGGCCAGCCAACTACATGCACCTGGCTGCGCAACGTGCAAAGTAACACCAGCCCACGGTCTGCTCGTGTGATTCACTCGGTCTGTCACAGGTCTGGCGGGTCGGGCCGTGGAGGGGTGTGTGTTTCAACACTATCCATCTTGCCTAGTTGTCACCCTGCTACCAAGGCAGAATCTCGCCAGCAGCTCAGCATGCTTCCACGTGCCGCGGTGCCTTGCAGGGCCACCGTCAACAACCTGAGATACCCTCCAAATGCTGCTGAGCCTCTTCCGCTCACAAATCTGTCTTTCTCGCTGCCTTGCGTTTTCTCAGAACTTTTTGTGAGATGTTGTTTAAAAAAAGGGCCTGAGATTGCGTTCCTGACGCACAACCAGCATACGTAACCGATTAAGTACTTGGCGGGCAAGTTTTCTTGCGTCTCAGACACCAACCTAAGCCTGACCTAGGGGCCTGACCTAGGCTGCTCTGATTCACTGGCAGCTCAGGTTTGAGAGGAGGAAGCCCTGCCAGTCTTCATCTTTCAAGTTTGCTTGCTCTCGCCTGTTTTTTTGCGCAGCAAGAAGTTCAGAATGAGCATGCTCTGAGGCGTGCAGCCTCAGCTTGCTGAAGGTGGCCGCCCTTCCCTCAACGCCTTCCATGCCTTTCCTCAGCGCAGCTTAGAAGCAAAGCTCAAGGCACTTTGCAAGCGGCCAATATGTGTGTTGCTTAGTTCAGGGCCCTCGCCCCTGGCATCGGTTCAAAACTGCGGCGGCGTAGCACGTTTTCCTGAAAGGGAAGATGTCATCAAATGGAGCAGAGTTCTTTTTGAAGCTCAATGACTGCCAAGTTGCCGACGTTGTGCGACGGACGTGTTTGTTCCAGTCAGGAAGTCAAAGTTGGGACCTCTCCGAGTCCGCAGTCTGAGCGGCGAGACAGCAGTGAGATTGCTAAAGGACAAGTCAAACTCATGCTGCGTTTCAACAAGCAGGCGCATCAAGACAATTGGAACCGTCGCCTGTCACAAATACACCACTTGAGCTTGCGATTGAAACCTGCAGCAGGGCGCATGCAATTTGATGTTGCAAGATCCACATAACTCATCATTGGAAGTTACAGAAGCGGAACTTTAGCAACACAGATTAAGCAGCTTGCAAAAGAAACGCCAGTTCCATCTGAGCGAATCATGCGCTTTGTCACCGATGTAAGGCGGCTGCGAGCTCTACAGGAGATCGCGCGCAAGATCTCGCCTGACACCTTCTGATTCTCGAGCTTCCTGGGGCGTTTGAAAGAAGACCTGCAGGTCTTGTTCAGCTTGGTGTTGCAACGCCAACACCACTGACGAATGACCAAAAAAGCTCTTGGCAGCACAAGTCAAAAATCTTCCACAACCCGAAGATATCGGGGGGGGGGTGGGGTGAGGTGGGCATTTCCGGAAAAACGTCGAAATCAGCAAATAGTCCGGAAATGGGCTTTGCGCCCCAAAAGAAACGATTGGGGGGTTTGGGGGGGGGGGTGGGCATTTCCGGACAAACGTCGAAACTAGCAAATAGTCCGGAAATTGGCTTTGCGCCCCAAAAAGAAACGCTTGGAGGGGGGGGGGGTGAAAGGCAAACTAGGCAAACCCCAGTTTGGGGTGGGTTTCCCTCAAAGCAGGCTTCCTACCCATGAGTTTCGTTTCTACCCCTAAGAACTCTTGGGGGTGGATGGCTCACGGCTCAAGCCATCTGGCACCCCTGCTGATTTTTGCATGTTGGGGCAAGCCCCAAATGCTGGTTTGGGGCGGGGGCAAACGGGGCGCCCCGCCGTACCCGGTGTCCCCACCCGACCGTACCCTCCCGACCGTACCCCCCCCCCAAAAAAAAAGCAGCAATTTCCGAGTGCCAAAACGCAGATTTACTGTAAATTTAGAGGGTTTTGGCCAACAAAAAAAAGGCAGCAATTTTTGGAAAAAAGGCAGCAACTTTTTCGGGTACGTCCGTACCGTACCCGGTGCACCCACCCGACCGTACCAAAAAAAAAAAGGCAGCAATTTTTGGAAAAAAGGCAGCAATGCCGAGTGCCAAAACGCAGATTTACTGTAAATTTACAGGGTTTTGGCCCAAAAAAAAGGGCAGCAATTTTTGGAAAAAAGGCAGCAACTTTTCCGGGTGCGTCCGTACCGTACCAGGTGCACCCACCCGACCGTACCAAGAAAAAAGGCAGCAATTTTTGGAAAAAAGGCAGCAATGCCGAGTGCCAAAACGCTAGAGGGTTTTGGCAAAAAAAAAGGCAGCAATTTTTGGAAAAAAGGCAGCAACTTTTTCGGGTACGTCCGTACCGTACCCGGTGCACCCACCCGACCGTACCAAAAAAAAAGGCAGCAATTTTTGGAAAAAAGGCAGCAATGCCGAGTGCCAAAACGCAGATTTACTGTAAATTTACAGGGTTTTGGCAAAAAAAAAGGCAGCACTTTTTGGAAAAAAGGCAGCAACTTTTCCGGGTGCGTCCGTATCGTACCAGGTGCACCCACCCGACCGTACCAAAAAAAAAGGCAGCAACTTTTGGAAAAAAGGCAGCAATGCCGAGTGCCAAAACGCAGATTTACTGTAAATTTACAGGGTTTTGGCCCAAAAAAAAAGGCAGCAATTTTTGGAAAAAAGGCAGCAGCTTTTTCGGGTACGTCCGTACCGTACCCGGTGCACCCACCCGACCGTACCAAAAAAAAGGCAGCATTTTTTGGAAAAAAAGCAGCAATGCCGAGTGCCAAAACGCAGATTTACTGTAAATTTACAGGGTTTGGGCCCAAAAAAAAGGCAGCAATTTTTGGAAAAAAGGCAGCAACTTTTTCGGGTACGTCCGTACCGTACCCGCGCCCGTCGTACCCCGCCTGTCGCACCAGCGTACCGTACCTGTCGTACCAGCGTACCATACCTGTTGTACCGCCGTACCGTACCTGTTGTACCACCGTACCGTACCTGTTGTACCACCGTACCGTACCTGTTGTACCGCCGTACCGTACCTGTTGTACCACCGTACCGTACCTGTCGTACCACCGTACCGCACCCAAAAAAGGCAGCAATTTTTGGAAAAAAGGCAGCAATGTTTTAGGCAAAAAACGCAGATTTACTGTAAATTTACAGGGTTTTGGCCAAAAAAAAAGGCAGCAATTTTTGAAAAAGGCAGCAATTTTTTCGGGTACGGTCAGCTGGTACGACTGGTACGGTTTGCTGGTACGACTGGTACGGTCGGCGGGTACGACTGGTACGGTCAGCTGGTACGACTGGTACACTTGGCTGGTACGACTGGTACGGTTTGCTGGTACGACTGGTACGATTAGCCGGTACAACTGGTACACTCAACTGGTACGACTGGTTGGTACACTCAGTTGGTACACCTGGTACATCGGTGATGTGGGCAGGGGTATGGCCCGCCGGCGCGAGTTGAGTTGGTATGACCATTCGCTCAATTGATTGTTTCTGGTGTCTGATAGACTCTAGACTCTAGACTCTAGACTCTAGACTCTAGACTCTAGACTCTTTAGATTCTAGACTCTAAACTCACTCTAGACTCTAGATTCACTCTAGACACTAGACTCTAGACTCCTCGCCTCCTCGACTGCCTGCGCTGACTCCAATCAACTCTACAATCTCTACAATCTTGCTGGACTGTACACATTTTACATTGCGCGAACCGCAGATAGAATCCATGCCCAACTCAAATTGATACTTGTGACTGGATTTACTAGTGAGATTATACTATAGATTCTATAGATGTTACATACACTTTGCGCACTCTGTCACTCTGTCCCTCTTAACTCTTAACATTCCCCCCCCCCCACCCCCCTCAAGCTTGGGTGTGTTGAGAAGTTGACAAAAGTTGAGAGTTGGTGAAAGGCGACACTTCAGACTTGATACACTGACCAACGCTTGGTGCAACCCGCATTGCAGTGTACTGTTTTTGAGCATTCTACGTGTTGTGTAGCAGTAGCAGCTAGCATATGTTGTGTGTAGCACCGATTCTGTCATTCTACTACAGTGACGAGTGACGTGTAGGGACATCTTGCGTGTGCTGAGAAGTTGAGAGTTGAAAGGCGACGCTTCAGACTTGACTTGATCCCAGTTGATACCTTGATACACTGATCAAAGCTTGGTGCGTGTGTGGTAGCTGCCATTGAGATTTGAAAGAGTGTGCTGCATCGTCCCTGGTCGTCGCATTCCATGGCTGACTCATGCGCTTCGGGCGCTGCAAAGAGGGCCAAGTGTTCCTCGGACATGCCAGATCTACCAGAGGGGGTCACCCTGCCGGACAACTACAAGATGCGGAAGTGCCGGTGTTGCAAGACCACCAGTTGCAGTGTGAACCCATGGCCTCTCACAGGCACGGTGCTGCACGCATGGGCGCCGCTCACCCCATGGAACAGGGGCACACGCGACAAACCCATTGGCGAGTTGTGTAGGTGCTGCCAAATCGCACCTTGTCATGATCCTAACATTGTTTTCCTCTTTCTCACACAAGGCAGCATCACCACGCGCCCGCACCGTCAACTTGTGTACTGCGCCGAGTACCGTGTAAGTTTAAGTTTGAGTTTTAACTGCTTAGATTCTGCAATGTGTCCGCCCGAGGTGTGGACTCAAGGTGGATTCGAGGCGGATTGGCAGACAGAAGACCGCTTCCAGAAGGCGCTGACCACTAACCCAACGCTTTTGCACGGCTTTCTTGACTCTCGGCCGCTACAAGTCTGTCACAAGTAAGCTGCCTTACCGACCAGTTGAAGTTCAATCAAATCGTTAATTCCTGAAGTTAGTTGTCCACACACGTCGGCCGTGACCTGTCTCCGAATTGTGACGCTACCCTCGTGTCCGCCCCTCGACAGCCAAGGCTATCCGAGCGAACCTCGTGAAGCTCAAAAAGGAGGACCCCTCCATGACGTTCCGAGTGGAACGCGCATGTGCTGCCATCAAGGAGAAGGTCTTCGCCAGCTCTCGGCACGAGCAGAAAAACCAACCCAACAGTTTGTTGAGCTTGACGCTTACGTGGAGGCCTTTGGATCTGCCCCGGCGGCAGAAGACATAGTGTATGAATGGATGGATGGGAAGGAAGTGGCCGGAGTGACTTGTCAAGTCAAGTTTGACTCACACCCCCTGTACCTTTCTTTCCTTCTATTATTTATGTTAATGTTTTGCTGACTACTTCTGGTTTAGCAGGGTTTCTGGTTTTGTGATGACGCGTAACAATGACAGTCCACACTGATTCACAATGATGGTCATGAGTCATGACGATGCGCTTTGACTATGAGGACGGTGATGATGGTGATGTTTGCGCCTTGCGCAGTGATGATGTTTCTGGTGATGTAGAGATGGATGATGATGCGGCTGCTTTGTTGGTTCATTGGAATTTGCAGTTTTAGACTAGACTAGACTGACTCTAGGGTCTAGACTCTAGACGCAAGACTCTAGACACATGTCACACACGACAACTATAAGTGATGCGTGTCAATTATGACTCATGTTTACAATTCTTGGCGCTATGAGGACTGCTCTGACAAACGGCTTCCATGCGTGCGAGTGTCTAACACACCTGCCATCGCCGAGGCGAACGTTTCATCTGGCCGTCGCGGCTGGCATAAAAGGATAGACAGGCAGGTCGCGAGCGTGTCTAGAGACGCCGAACTCCATGATGGTCAAGTCATTGATGACGGGCAGTCCGTGGACAAGGTCTTCACCGCCGCCAAACGCGGAGTTTTAAAAAAGCACGTGGCCACCAAGCAGTGCAGCCTGAAGGGCCCGCCCGCGCAGGAAGATTCCAGGAACGAGGCGCTCGACAGCGACGTGCCTTTTTGTCCCTTTGTCCAACCTTTGTGTTTTGGACCTTCAGGGAAGTCCCAACTGCAGTTGTGTGACGCATTACGTGCACCAAACCATTCGGAACCGTCCAAAATAGACAGACCAACAACTCTCAGGGTCCAAAATTGCGACGAGAGGGGACTTGCAGGGTCCAAACTAGCGGGCCCCACAAGTTCTCAATTTCAACAGTTAACATGTAAAATTACTTAGCCTGTCTAGTTTCTGTTGATGCTTGTAGCTGAGAAACATGATGCGAACAAATGGCTCAGTTTTGGAAGTGTCTTGGGTGTGTTGTGTCAAGTTTCAAGTTTCAAGTGCTCTATTTGTCTGCCTCCGCTCGGCCCTGGTCAGGGTCGGGAGGATATCGACGGAGATGGTCCTACTGGCATCGAGCTCGCCAACAACCTGCTAGGCCAGGCCTCCCTGTTGTAACTGTAAGAGTCTTAAGTTAAGAGTCTCAGTCTTAGTCATCTTAAGATACTTAAGGGTGCAACTTATCAACCTTGGTTCCAATTTAGACTCCAGACGCTGTAGCGATCTGTAGCGAGTAGTCAGCGTCAGTCAACCCCGGCTGCTAGTCACTAGCGTCGTTCCTTGCGCGCATAGCTCTAAACTTTAAACACCTTAGACTTTATAAACACCCTGCCAGATCCCACCCACGCCACCGTGGGAGACAGCGCTGACGAGGATAAAGACGAGGCCGCTGCGACGAACGGCCTCATGTCCTTTTTCAAGAGCCGCTTCCAGGTTGACCACAAGGCGCCCAAGCAGCCTGGTGAACAGCCCCCTGCATCCAGCAACGGCAACAAGCCCACGGTGACCATGCCCAAAGCCACAGCCAAGGCAAAAACCAAGGCTGCAGCCAAGGCGAAATCCAGCGCTGAGAGTGGCCAGTCCATGAAGTCGGTGGTTGGGAACGCCGGCAAAAAGAAGCGTAACCGTGAGGACGCAGGCCTGTCCGAGGACCCTTTTGATGCAGTGGACCTGCCCACGAGCAACACAGGTGGAGACCCGCAGCTGTCTTGTGCTGACGAGGCGGTGGTCAGCAACTTTGAGACGCGTCAATTTCGAACCTCCCGTGCCAGATGCTCCGTTCAAGGCATACCTGGTCGATCGGAACTCCAAGTTCCAAGCGCTGGTGACGGAGCTCAAGTTGAAAAAGAAGTCGGCCAGCCGGCGCCGCAATCAAGGTGCCACCGACCAAACCAAGTTCTTGGACGCTCTCAACCAGCTGGAGGTCGTAACGAGAGACATCATCAACTTCATCAAGTGTAGCTCGCCAAGCATTCATGCTCGCGAGGTTCTCGGCAGACATCTAGAGTCTAGAGTCTGATTAGATTCTAGATTCTAGATTGTTTCTAGACTTTCTAGAAGAATCTAGATTCTAGGTTCTAGATCCCAGAAAGTTGAGTTTATGTGTTGGATTCCTGATTGTATATCCTAGGTCCTAGATTCTATATTTTCAGGAGATGCGAACTGAGCTGATTCCAGGTGTGCAACGCATGGATTCGAGTTGCGTTCTTGCCTCAAGACGATGTTGCGTTCTAGCGATCCAGTGTCTAGACTAGAGTCCAGACTCTAGACTTATCCCATGTCATATGTTCCCACGTGTATTCAGTGTATTGTATGATTGCCCGCTTTCTGAGGCTTGCTGTGCCAGTCGCACCCAGAAGATGGGCAGTCGCTCCTGAGCCTTTGTGATGCGGCCAAAGCCAACCACGGCGTGACGATCAACGGCGCCATCATCAGGCGTTGCTTGAAAGCGCTGCTCTGCGAGGACTTGAAGCAGTGCGACTTTGCTACCATGGTTACCGGCACCCTGGAGACATTCCTCGCCCGCCACATCCAAACCACAGACGAGGACGAGCCGGCGGGCGCCTTCTACTCGATGTCCTGCAGCCAGTGCTTGCAGAAGCTGGTTAAGGCAGCGACTGCCAAGTTCCGCATGAAGGAGCTAGCTAGTGTGTTGTTTCGTCTTGATTGCTTGGCATGCTACTCGATTGCCGACGATTGTTTGCAACTCACTCCATATTGGAATTGGTTGGGACACGAAACGCAACGAACCGCTAGCTACAAGAGCTTCAGCGGTCAGACAAGTGACTGACGGTTGACAATACGCATGAAGTCAAGAGTGAAGAGACAAAACTGCCCAGCAAACTTTGAGTTGGGCCGGTTGTGTCTACGGGTCGCAGGAACACATCACCGTGCCTCACAACAAGCGCGAGCTTTCAGCCATGGACTCTTCCCTGGACGCCCTGGGCAACGGTGGCTCGGTGCCTACAGACTTAGCCAACGATGCAACAACAGTGCTGCGGCTGGTGCGCGCTGACACAGTTCCGATCCATGACGTTAAGGAGTCAATCAGCGCCATTGAGTCCATGCAGCAGCGCCTTTGCCAAATTGGTTTGCTGTTTGGCCAAACAAAAATAGTCACTCGGTCTGAGTCGAAGGCTGGTACCCCTTTCCATCCGACCACTTGCGGAGCTGGGCCCAATCTGTATTGCTAGTGCTGCTGGCAATGCTCAAACTGTTGCAGGGGATGCTGCAGCCCCTCTGCAGCTAGTCTGGTCAAGTCTTGTCAGTCACAGTCTAGTCGAGTCTGGTCTAGTCAGTCTAGTCACTAGTTTGTTATTGTAGCCTTGCTTCACGCCAAGGGGCGGGCAAGAGCTCAAGAACACCATGATCATGACCGCGTCGGTTATGGGCACAAGCCTTGGTGTCAAGATCCTGAACGACGCCAAGTTCAGCCTGGAAACACGCAACTCAGACGCAGAGTTTTCAGACCGTCTTGCCGCAGCGTTTCATAGACTGCCCGGCGCCTTTGTGGATGTGGAGACTGGCAGTGCTACGATGGCCGAGCGGCGCTTCGGTCCCAAACTAGCAGTGGACAGACAGTGTTCTTTCAGTCTTAAGTTCTTAAGCGCCACTTCCAAAGCTGGCTCGCAGATGGTTTTACAATAACTTACTTTGTGGCTGAACGCGCGGTTGCTCTGAGGTGCTCGCATGTCTTGGACGCCTTCCAGCTGCTTCACACCGTATGCACTTCCAAATCACAAGCTAAGTCGCTGGGGAAGGAGCACATTGCAAGCATGACAGCCTCTTTGCGGAAATCTGTCAATATCCTCACATTGCAGTGCGCGATCGTGGAAGCCATTTGGAAAATATTATCAACCTGTCGTCTCTGTGAATTGTGTCGTTAGCTTTGTAATCCTTGGCCTCCAGCCTCCAGACTCAACACCCCAGACATTTTAGCTTGTCGTGTCACACGTCGTTAGGTGCTTCCATGGGTGTCGCACGCTGCGTCGTCGGCTACAAGCAGCAACATCTTCGACGCGCCGCCATCTACATCATGGGCCTGCTACAAGTCTTTCGTCAAGCTCAACGACTTTAGCTCCTGCAAGGAGTTCTTGGACTCTGCCACGAAGCTGTCCCAAGCCATGGCCGCTGTGAAACACAACTCCAGCGACAAGGTGGATTGCCAAGGCTTCAACAGTGTCCTGGACAGCTTCAGCAAATCAGTTGGGTTGCTCCAGGACGGGGATCAAGTTTCAAAAAAGGTGTTTTTTTGAGAGCTCAAAGTGTGTTTTCTGAGGGGCGCAAAAAGGGTGTTTTTTTGAGGGGATCGACTTGACTAGATTGACTAGATTCTAGAATTTCTAGGCTCTAGTCTCTCAAGACTAGTGTCAAATTCAACGACACCGGTCTTAAGTAAGTAAGTACGTAAGTCCTAGCGATTAGTGATTAGCGACTACCGAACTGACTAGCAAGTGTTCAGTGGTTGTTTGTTATCGCCGACTCATTGTTGAGTCGTTGTCGCTTGCCCCTGCAGGAAACATGGGCATCGTTTGTCGAGACGACTTCGTGCGCGGACGGTCACGTCAAGCTTGAGCCATTGTTTCGCAACATCGAGACTCTGAGCACCGTGGCCAGGTCTGTCAGGGACGCTATGAACATGGCTGACATGACGGCGGTCAAAGGTGCCATTTGCGATTTCCTCATGGCCTGTGTGTCAGACGCAAGCAGCAGCGATTGCTTTCAATCTGATTCCCTCCTCGACGATGTGGAACTCAAGTTGTTTGCGGCGGCGATGCCTGACGAGGACGCCGATCGTGCCAACCTGCTGAACGCTGCCGACTATCTCAAGGCTTTCTACGAAGCAGGCGAGAGCGGGTTCATGTGCAAACTTTGCAATTGCGGTTGCAACGGTAAACTTTGTAAAACCCCCAAAACTGTAAGCTGTTAAACTTAAGTTCTTTTTAAGTAAGTAACCGTCACACAACTCAACTATTCAAGAGCGCTGTCCACAAAGTTCACACTGTGCGCACATACCCACCGGCGCAATGGTCCCCGGAACTTGTTGGTAATATTTCGATTTACGAACTATGGCTATGGACCTACACCACCTATACTAAGTTACACACAGCCATATACTACTAAACTTTCTAAACAAATGATTTCAAATTTCAAACCCTAAGTCCCCCCCCCACAACCAGTCGTTTGCAACTGCGTCCCGTTCTCTGTCCATGTAATTCAGATATTAAAAAAATTATCCTTCCATGAAAGTCAGGTAAAAAAGCTAGAAAAACTGTTAGAAGTTGTTGGCTGGGAGTTTAGGGTCTAATAGCGGCTAGCGTTTGGTTTTACTCACGAGAGGCCACTTGCTCGGCAAGCTCAAGATCTCAAAGTCTCCCGATGTGTTCAGGCGCCTCATGCCGGCGTCCAAAGCTCTTGACAAAATGCGAGGATCGGACCCGAGTGATATGGTCACTGCCCTGTTTTCCGGCGAGTTCAACGTTGACGCGCTCCGATCAGTCGTCCTGAAGATATCCACATGTGCTTCCACAGAGGTGGATCGCTGGATTGCTGACAAGGCGTGTTGGCTAGTCATGAGGCATAGCCGTCATAACCTCATGTTCTGATGATTCAAATGATCAATAATCAAGACTTCTGGTACCTGCAATACTGTCTCGACTCTTGAGTATTGGCTTCCTTGACTTTCTGTTTTTTGCTTAACTCTCGGCTGACGTTTGACGTTTAGGCGACGGCTCTGGACAATTTGGTCCAGCAGGTTGAGTCCCACAAGCTTCCCTGTGGCAGTGACATCCAGTACCCTGTGACCGCTGACGGGGACAACACCATTCCCACCATGAAGGACTTTCCGGACCTGGCGCAGATCGATGAGGGTGCTGTGGCCAACACGTGCACCCGCCTTCAAGCCGCGATGCAGGACATTGAGGACAGCCGATTGTTTCTCACAAACAAATATAAACAATCAGCCATCTACGAAGTTCACGTGTGACCCAAGTGATGATCCCCTAGATTGGTCTTGTGTCGGCATGTCGCGCCACGGCCTGGGCATGGCAAGGCTGGGTTTGGATCCGGGTTTTGGAATTCGAGAAAATTGCTACATAGTGTTGAGTTTCGGACACTGTTAGGAGATGGTGTCTGTTTGCTAGTCTAGTGTCTAGTCTAGTTATCTAGTTAGTTGCTGTTAGGTGTTTGACTTGATTGTTTGACCTCGGCAGGCAGCCGCCTGCCACAACAGTGCAGTTTCTGTCCTGGCGACGATCACCCTGCTGAGAATCATGAACTCCAAAAGATTCGTGAAATCCATCGCATGCGATCAGCCACCACCTACGAGTCTCCTTGACAGCTTACGCGACACCATGGCGACGTGTGGCTCACTCAACCTGACAGTGCCGGCCTTGCTGCAAGCGAAAGCAAGCAGCTTTTTGAACTTGAACAAGGCTCCAGCTCCAGCCTAGGCTAACACTCGGCTCTTTTCACTGGGCTCGAGCGGTCGATTTGCAGCGCCTACGCGTTGCTGCATGTGGGTTGTCTAGCAAGGTGGCTGCGGGCGTGCCCTGCCAGATTAATTCGACTGCCCCCCCTCAACTTCAACTTTGAGTCGAGTGACTTCAAACTTCAAACTTCATTGTCAGGGACAAGCTTGAAACTTCCAACTTCACTGATTGGTTAGTCAGGGCGCCTGGCTGGAGCTTTCTGAGTCGTTCAGGCGCATGGTGTTCTTTTAGTTTTGGTTTTCTGAGGAGTTGCAGATGATGCGTTGCGACAAACTGCCAGCGCTTCGGTGACTCCCAGTCCCGCGAACAGCCCCCCCACCCAGGGCTGCGCGCATCAATTAAATGATTAGATTCGATCTGATTGGACTAGACCCTCAATGCGTGCCGTGCCTCAGCAAAATGGCACCTTGCGGCCCGTCCCAACTTTGAAGCTTCACGGCTCAGAAGAAGACTCACAAGACTCAAGACGTTCAAGGTTCAATACTCGACTTCCGACTTGCTAATGACAAACTATTCAGTTCTCATTGTCCCAGCATACAGTTGACACTTTGTTTCCGTTTCAGCCAATTGTCACCTTGCTGCCAGATGCCAGACCCAGACATGGTGATCAAACTGACCAAACATAGACTTTGCTGCAAAAAATAACGTTGACTTGTATTGCAGATTCTGAGATCGTGACATTTCGTGTTGAACAGGACTCTTGATTTTGAACTGTTGGATTGTTGGACGGCCCGAATCCTTGTGTCATTGAATTCCTGGCATGTGTGATGCAATTGACGTATTTGAGCCTGAGCAGAGCGCAAGTTGTAGTTGTGCGATCCTTTGAGTTGACTCAGACTCTTTGGTTGACTTCCCTGCAGCAGAATGTTCAAGTCATGAACGCATGCGCTTGATTCAAGTCTCAGGAGTTGACATGACATGTGGAGCAGGTGTTAATGTCAAGGTAGGTGAGTGACTGTGTTGGCTGCCTGCTCGTCAGCAATGGGGCGATCCAGTGCCAAACCAACTGCGAAGGCGAAGACAGCTGCAAAGAGCTGTTCTGTGGTGAAACCTAAGGCTATGCCGGCTACGCCCAAGGCACCTGCAAAGCCCAAGGCTTGCGATCTGCCTAAATACCCTCCAGAGGTTGTGTGCAAGTACAGACAGCAGCGGGCGCAATTTATTGCAGCGCACCCTGGATCTCGCCCTTCCCCCAGAATCGTCTGGGGGTCGGGCCGTTCCACCAGAATCCTCAGGGCCTTCCTCTGACGTTGCCGTGGCAGCGCCGGCGCAGGAGGGGGGTCGGGCCGTTCCCCCAGAATCCTCAAAGCCTTCCTCTGACCTAGTGGTGGCCGTGCCGCCGACGCAGGAGCCGTTTTTTGTTGTCAAGTGAAATTCATCCTAGGTTGGCAAAATTGTCTCGCGATCGATTGGATTTGGTCATGTCACGGTAACGTTGGCTACTGGCGAGGTCAAACTGACTTAATAAGAGTGGTTACTGTTTGCGCCCGGCTTCCTTTGGGGCTGAGAGGCAACCGTCAAGAAACATCCCCCAAAAGTGGGTGCAAATTTAGTGCCCTGTTTGCACCCGGCTTGAATAGGGAGAGCTGAGAGGGCAGCCGTGAAGAAACATCCCCAAAAGTGGGCAGCACCCTGTTCGCAGTTGGGGGGCAACCGTCAAGAAACATCACCAAAAATAGTGGGTACTAACTTAGGGAGGTTGAGGGGCAACCGTCAAAAAAAACATCCTCCCGAAAAGTTGGTACTAATTTAGCCGGGCAACCGTCGAGAAACATCCCCCAAAAAAGTGGGTACTAGTTTAGCACCTAATTAAGACTCAAGACTCAAGATTAACAACTAATAATATTGATGTCTTTTTCGATTCAACGCTACACCCACCCACTAACCAATCTCCCAACGAGCAGCCCTCCGCCCGCGCGGCGTCAGCGCATTTTTTGGGAGGACCCTTCAGCTTCGTTTTCTTAGAACAGTAAAAAAACAGCCCGGCTTGACCGCCTGAATTTGTCAGGCCGGCGCCGACCAGAAATCGGATGACGAGCTCTCTACAGAGCTTGGGAGACTGCTGGACGCCAATGATGAGGTCCTCACCGACCAAGCAGATGCTGAGACGAACCACGGCGACGCCCGACAGCACACTCAGGCCACCCAAGCGGACGCTGAGACCAACCGTGGCGACGGCCAGCGTCACACCCAGGCTGCGCAAGCAGATGCTGAGACCATCCCTGGCGGCGGCCAACAGCACACTCAGGCCACCCAAGCGGATGCTGAGACCAACCGTGGCGACGGCCAGCATCATTCCCAGGCCATCCAAGCAGATGCCCCTGGCGGCGGCCAACAGCACACTCAGGCCAACCGTGGCGACACCCAGGCCGCCCAAGCAGATGCCCCTGGCGGCGGCCAACAGCACACGCAGGCGGAGACTCAGATCACCCCTCATAGCAACCAACAGCACGCGCAGGCAGATGCTGACACCATCCCTGGCAGCCTCACTTGCGACTCTGCCGTGGTAAATGTTTCAGAAACACCAATGACTGTGCAACCTTCAGCCACAGACGCTCACCAACCCGTCGAGGGCGCGTCAGCCGTGAAGCAGGAGCAGCCCACAGACACTCACCAACCAGCCGTGCAGCAGGAGCAACCTGCAGGGCTTGATGTCAAGCGTGAGACCACAGGTGGCGCTGATTCTCAGACTCATTTGGTGCGATGGACAGGATGAGAGAAAGACTGGTGCGGGGCAGACAGGTAGGTAGGTAGGTAGCAGACGGACAGACTTGATCTTGGATTCCTTCATTCATTGATGAAATTCATACTGTGATTGGGTTTTAGGTTTGACTGTCGATTGATTAGTTTTTTATTTTCTAGGATTCTAGAGTCTATCTAGAATCCAGAATCTTGACTCTTGACTCTTGTGAGTCGACTCTTGATACTACACTTGAGACTTGAGACCCCAGTTAACAGCCAAAAAATGGGTTCAACCAAATCAGTCCCAGCAGGCCAGTAAATTCTTTAGATTTGCAGATGGTTCCGTAATCTGGGTTTTCTAGACAGATAGTGAAGTGACGCGTTGCCAAGGATGATGACAGACTTCGAGGAGTGCTCGGAAGCCCTGACTTCAAGCAATACTGTGTCGAGAGCAACACAAGCTTCACTTGTGACCTCTCCGACATTGACGGCCTCTACAACGAAATCATGAACCAAGGGCAAGGCGCCGCTACAGCAGTGATTCGTGACTGGCACGCCTGGCGGGAAACCTGCTTGCAGATCAAGGAGCTGAGGCCCAAGATCCGGGATATGGTGCTCCACCCTTTGTTTGAAGAGTTCTGCACCGTCAAAGATGTGTCATTTGAGTGCGATCTATCTGACAAGACTGCAGTCCAACATCAGGTCATGCGCAGTGGCGTGCCAGGTGACTTGCTGCAGGACTGGAGCAATTGGGTAGTTGATGGCGCTCGCCCTGTGACACGATCCAAACGTGACACAGGTGGTGCTGACCGCTACAAACTACCCCCTACTGCTGCGCATCCTGACATCAACGACGTCTTGGTTTCTGCAGTGAAGGCCATTCGGGTGTCCGTACTTGTTGGAACTAGCTCAATGAAATCTAGTTCAGTTTTGTCGCGTCTTTGGTTTTGGTCCAATTTCAGTTTTGGATTTTTTGACAAAAGGCTAGTCATAGATAGAGACTCGATACCATGCCACTCACACACTTTCATTCGACTCAAGACTCAAAACGTTTGTTCTAAGATTCTAAAATCTAACACCAAAGTTCTAGATGTTTGGGCATGATGTTGATGCTGTGCCCATCAGATCATGGTCAGCCGCGCTGCCGGCAAGCTCCCAGACCTTGCAAATCGCATCCGAGCCTGGCCACGCTTGGCGATGGTTGCAGATATGTTCAGCGGGGCTGGCACGTTTCTCCATGTGACAGAGACTGTAATGCAAGTGCTGAATGAAGAGTTCCCAGAGGAGACATCCGGCTTGGCTGACGCTTGGACTGCTACTGGCAACTGTTTGGGTCAGATGCGCCTGCTTGCCCAACCAGGTTCAGGATTCAAGTGTCCAGAGTCCAGAGTCCAGGGCCATAGTGAATGACAATGAGGTAGTTGAACTTTGAGCTGGGAACACCTGAGAACTATTTCACCGAACTTATGCTCGCTCAATATTTGCAATGTTACAGCAACCATCGGCCCATCATGTCTGTCAGGTCAGCCACGAGTTTATGGCAGAGGTGGTGGCGTTCAAGCAAGCCTTTTTGGCTGCCTCCCTGGCCGAATCTCACAGCCCGGACTGCTGTGTCTTCAATGATGCCACGCAGATGTTTTGCCCGGATCGGTCCTGCGTGCGCCATGGAAATGAGTGTGTGCCTTGGCACCTTATCTCCAGCAACTTTTGTTTAGCAGGTTTAGCTGCCTAGCTGTCAGCTGGTTGTTTCTACTGGGGTATCGAGTCTTGAGGCAGTGCCAGTTGATTGTGGATCGTACAGACATGTTTAACG